ACTTGGAAAGATGTGTACAAGAATTGAGATCTGCCAGCCTGTTCTGTCTGAGCAGCCACTAGCCACAGGCTGTACATTCAGTTTGGCCAAATACCTCAATATTCTTTTCTTTTTAGCCAAATAGTGCAATAGGGTCAACAGATCTATTAGTAATTCAGCCCCATTTTTCCCCCATAGGTTTTCTCTGGATTTTACAGCTTGCCTCCAGAAAACCGATTGGATCAGCTGTTTAATTAAATACTAGACTTTCATAAGTGTATTAGAAGGATCGTCTGATCATAGACATTCAAAAGAAAAGGGTGAATTGTCTCATGTCTGAGGACCAAATTAATTTTGGAAAAACATAAAATGAAAAACTTGAACTCTTCATATACTGCAAACTACACTTATCACTTGCACAGTTGTCTTTATATGTCCTTAAACTTTTATAAAAAGCAGTCAGACTAATGATATGATATGGACTCCAACAATGTTGACAATAGAAAAGATAAAATGTTTCAGCAAAACTGCTGGAGCCAACCATGCCTGATTCCTCCCCAGAACTTTTCCGCTCAGGGAAACAAATAAACAACTATTAAAATTAAGTTAGAGGTTTGTATTATAATTAATGTTCCTAACTAACCATGGATCTTTCAATCGTTTTACTTTCTTGGGTCTCCATTTCCAACTTCGTAAAGTGATGACATTGGCTAAATCATCTAATATTTCATTTAGTTCAAATGTTTTAGTATCAGTAGCCTAAATTATTAAAGAAAACATAAATCTCATTCATGCAAAAAACACAAAAATATTTATCTTTACGCTTCAATTACTTTGGGTTATATTCAGTTATTAATTAAGGCAAAGCACAGAATTGAAAAGGAAATGATGTATTTATGTTTAGATTGCAAGAAATACTACATGTATTCTAAAAATATAACATTTAAAACTTCAAAAACCGGTTAATGATAAACTTGAGAGGTAGAAAGGTCTTTTAGTAAAAGAAAAATTGGTTTTTGTCTTTAAGAAATGGAGATACAGTCCTTCAAATTTGTGATTACTTATGACACAAGGAATTTTATGATTTTTATAACCGCACAAATATCACAACATTAAGATTTTCATCTGAGGGTGTCCAAGACAAAAGTAAGTGTGTCTGTAAATGAAACAGGCTTTCTTATTCGCTGCAGGTGCTATTATCGCTGGTGATAAGTAGTTTAGTTTTAGGGTATGGAAAGTTAGTTCACTGGACGAGATGAGTTCCTCTGAAGGAGAGATTAGGAGAATCAGGACAAATGCGCTGGGTTAATAGCTCATAATGTAATGAGGGAGATCTATGATTATGGCTCTGATGACTCAAATGGGCTGTGACCCCACCTGCTCCATGTATGTTCAGAATCTAAATTCCACTCATGAACACGAAAAATCTGGCCCGGAGTGACAGGCAAAGAAACCGAGCTTCTCACCTAGCATGCCAAAATATTACTCATCCCATATCAATCCCTGAATCTTCTCTTGGTTACTTTTATTAACATAATTCGTTTACATATTTCATTTAAATTGTTTCTTCAATAAAATAATACAGAATGTATCCAATGGAACTCATTGGAATGTGTCCATATTTGCCCTACACTGTGAGCAAAACCTAGTCATAAAGGGGATTTAAGAAATGAAGATGGACAAATGATTTGTGAACTGCTTAAGACCTCTTGATGGTAGGGTTCATCTTTCTCAGGAATCAAGGTGACTCAACAGGAAGAGCCTCTATGCATCGGATTCTCCTCTCCTCTTTCCCTTCCTCTCCTCCAGAACTCCCCCATTCAATCACTCATCCAGGAATCCAGCTACTTGAGCACGTCCAAGGGACAGAAAGGAACAGGGTACCTGGGGAGTGGGGATCGTCCTGAGAAACACAGTGCTCCTCCCAATTAGTTTATAGCTCTCCAGAAAAGAAAATTATATTAAATGAAAAGTTATACTGAAATCCAGATGCTGAAAAATGTCTTCATATAATTTAAAGCTCCAAGAAAGATTATTGCAATGGAGTGGGTTCTTTCTCTCACTCTGTCCTCTCTCTGTCTTCATGTGTGCATTTGTGTCTGTGTGTGTGTGTCAGAGAGAGACTGAGAGTGTTTCCACATAAGGAAAACATAATAAAAAAAAACTGTGAGAAAATCAGTAACTAATCAGTGACTACCAGTGATGTAGTGATACATACATAGATCCCAGGTTTGTAATTTCTCCATCGCTTTCGATCTTACAATCATATCCATTTTTATCATTTTTTCCCATGAACCAATAACGCACTAAAAAGAGTTTATGGAGATTGAGTTTTTCATAAATAGCAAAGTGGTAGAAAAACTGGAGTAAACTCCTGTTTGACAACTGACTGAAGATTCCAAGGAAACTAAATTAGTAGTTATCAGTAGCAGTGATTGGAAAAGAGCATCAAATATCATCTCCTTAAGAAGGAATATAGATTTGTAAAAGCTGGGAAATGTACATAAATGCTCAGGTAAATCCCATTCAAGCCTAAGTGATACATAGATTGTACTTCTTAATGAACTTCAGATATAATTATTCACAAATTTTTTAAAAATCCTAAAATTCATGTGGAACTGGAAAAGAGCCTTAATAATCAAAATATGTACAATGCTGTTTTATAAAAAATAAACATTTATCCATTTATAGGATAGAATAGATAGCTGAGAAATAAACTTGAGTATTTATGGTCAACTGGTTTTTCAACAAATGTGCTCAGATTGCATAAAGGGGCAAAGAAGAGTCTCTAAATGAATGATAGTGTTAAAACTGAGCTCTCACATTCAGAAGAAATATAAACAGATCTGAAGGGGAACACAGACTGTAAGACACTATGAGTAATAATAAGAGACTTTCATATCCCATTTTCAGCACTAAACAGACCTAGACAGAAAAATCAATATGGAAGCGCTGCAGTTACACTGATTTAGAACCGATGGATGAATACCTCTCTACACAGGGTCCCATTCCACAGCAGCAGAATACACACTTCCTTCAAGCGAATGTGGGACATCCTCCAGGATGGATAATTTGTCAGGCCACAGAGCAAGTCAATGCACTTAACAAGACTGATACTACTTCAAATCACTTGTCACAATGAAACTGGAGATCAGTCACAGGAGAAAAACTTGCAAAACTTGTGGGTATGTGTGAGTTACACAAAAGTGCTTTTGAAAATCAATGAATCAAAGGAAAATTAAAATAAAATTATACGTTCTTTTAATACATACTATATCTCACAATCCATATCATATATTATATAACATATGATATAGCAAAATATGTTATAGAATATATAGAGATATACATTGTAATATGTATTATTTTAATATGTTATATATTATTTAACACATTGTATCTAATTAAGAGTTAAACATAATATATAATTCAGAATAAATATCATTTAATATATATTACAAGAATATATGTACATGTAGAGAGAGAGAGACAGAAAGATGCAAAAGTGGGAGAAACTTGCATAAATAAATTAGTTAACCTAGATTAAGTGGATGAATTCCTAGACAGATGCAAACCCTGAGACTGAATTGAAAGCAAAACAGCAGAACTGACCAGTAATTAATAACATTCAATGAGTAACAAAAATCTTTAAAAATGAAAAAAGCCTAAGGAGCTGATGGCTTCACAGATGAATTAAATCAAACATTTAAAGAAAAGCTAATACCACGTTTTGCTCAAACCTAATTCAACAAGTCTAAATGAATGGGATTCATTCAAATTGATTCTTATGAGACCAGCCCTGTGCTGGTACCAATGGCAGACAAAAGGACAATATAAGAAAGCAAACCATACAGCAACATCCTTGATGATCAAAGATGCAAAAATCCTGAAGGAAAAATGAGCAGAGTTCAACAACACATTACAAAGATCAATCACGATGGCCAATCGTGGTTCATATAAAAAACATCCCAATTGATGATAACAGATATAAGTAAGATCAGCTAAAATTCCTCAGTCATTTTCAAATTTGTAACAAGAAGCAGCTGGACAGCTCTTTAAGCCAAAGCTGCACCTCACACATGATCTGGATTGTATTGAGTTCTAACTATCCACACCTATTTGATTATCTCTGTTACCATTGCAGCCTCTGGTATGCTGCACATATTCTTTTCATTTCAGCATTTTGTAGCTACTCACACAGAAGAAGAAACTTATTCTGCTATTGAAGCTTAATAGTTAAAATTTTAGTTGATTTTAACTAAGAATTTCAGTCACACCTTCATGCTATGACCCTTGACAATTATCCAAGGTAAACTTAACTTCTGAGTCATAACGTAATTATGAGGAAAACATCCACCAAACTATCAACTCTCCAAGTGTCTAACTGCATACTGATTTTATCTGTTGTTTAATAAGCCAGAGAATGTCAACATCACCAAAGCAGGATACGCATGTGAGACAGCCAGGAAGACGAGCCTCCAGCATGTACAGAACACGCAGCAGCTCTGTGAGATGAGATGGCCACTGGTTGCTGACCCCCGTCAGGATCAGAAGACCGATGCTGCCGACGACACAAGCCCCTGAAAGTCCTAACAGAAGGCTTAGGAGGGGGGAGCCCAGCACAGCATAACACTGATGTGACCAGGTCAGACTCATCTTTGGTCTTCATTGCTCTGCCCTAGACCATTACAAATCTGTTTACTGGTTGAAGGATTCAATCACAAGTGAATTAAAGCACCTGTAATGGACTTTTCAAAAGGACCCTTATGTTTTATGCATTAAATCACAATACAGAAACTTCCAATGTCCTTATTTTTCAGAAATACCTTCATTATTTCCTTGAGATGTTCATTCTATCAGTGGTAGCTAACCAGTATATGTGATTTTTAAGTGTTTTTTCCTGTGTAAACAATGCAAAAGGGCTAAATCCAAATTGGCTTTGATATTTTTCATCATATATACATTGACAACAGATAATTTTGTATTTTGTTTTAGCTGTTTCTCTTTTCTTTTAAATTTACCTCTTTATATATTCCAGTGCATTCATAGTAGTCTCTAGAAGGAAGGCCAAGCCAAGATTGGTCAATCTACAACAAAAATGTATACAATAAATTAATCATTTGACTTAGAACAGCTGGACCAAACAGAAGCAGGCGTAGGCATGTGCAAGATGCTCATGTTCTTCCTTTTTATAAGGGTAACAGTCAGATACTGAGTCTTTACTTAACAGTGATCTCCAGCAACTTGTCAATGTTAACCGGATGGGCAATTAGATCATCTGAAAGATGGCACTGCAGACATTTAAGGAAAACCAAAGAAATCTTGAACAAAAAGTATGCAAAGTAAGTTTAATGCAGAGCAGAAATGCAGGTAAGTGAAACTATATGAGAATTCAGGACTAGGGAGTTTATAAATTCCGCCTGTACAGGGCTTCTCAATTTCCTGAGATTCTCACACGTTCCCCTGGGAAGTCTCTTACTCATATTCTGGATGGGGACCCATTTACTGGTGGCAGTGGATCATACCCTCCAAGGTTATTTGCATAGGTTGTGAGGGGAGACATTGCAAACCTCTGTGGAACTGTGGAACTTTGGAAGCTAGAGTAAATGTTGCCTAGAAAGACGGATGATACTCTGCCTCATCTTCTCAAAAAATCACTCTTCCCAGAGCTTCTGGAGAGCATGTGGTGTGTGAGAGGCAGTTCAGCTGTGCTCAGTGTGTCCGAGTCCACCTTCCCTGCCCACTCTCAGCTTTGTGACACCCTTCTTCACTGCGTGGTCATTTGGATGCAGAGGCAACCCAGAACATTTCACGGCAAATCCGTTTGGCTGTGCCAATCAACACAGCCAACAAGTAATACAAAGCAACACTCCGGGAGTAGCCAGAAGGGTTCCCACATGGGTGTCTCCACGTGCAGCGCTGCCTCTTCTGCTTTTCCAAAGCGCTATCAGTTCATTCCATTCCAAATAGATCTCACTAATCTCATCTTAGGTGACACCTAAATAAATGGTTTACATTTAAAAAAAAAATCTAACAAAGTGTTTAGAAAGAATGTTTTTCTTTCCCTGAGCAAGCAGTGCAAATGTTCTTTACTAAGGAACAATGCTGACAGTCTGGCAGGCACAGTAGCTTATGCTGCCTGCCATGCTGGCATCCAATATGGCTGCCAGTTTGAGTCCAGGCTGCTTCACTTCTGATCCACTTCCCTTTTAACACAGGAGGGAAAGCAGCACAGGATAGCCCATGTTCTCAGGGCTCTGCACACACGTGCGAGGCCTGGAAAAAGCCACTGCTCCTGACTTGGAACTAACTCGGTTCTAGCTGTTGCAACCATTTGGGGAATGAACCAGCGGGTCGATCACACGCTCTCTGTCTCTCCGTGTCTTTCTGCCTCCTTCTCTCGCGAATTCCCTAAATCCTTTAAAAGGGTGGTGGTGGTGTGGGGGGGTGAATCTCAAAATCTCTTCTCTGCAGTTAGAAAAATCTTGGTTTCCAGACCCTCATTACTTATATAAACCAAAGCGTGCTCTTTTTAAAAAACTTATAAAACAATTGTGTGCCTTTTCTGGGTAGGAGGGTCATGGAGTCCCTCCTATCATTTATTTAATGAAGGGAAAAGTATTTAAAACAAGGGTAGTGTAAATGGGATAAATGTTTAAAACAACATGAAGAAAATGTTTTCAAACTTGGGACAGGGCAAGAATTTATTACAACCTAGCTCATGAAATTTAAATGAAAATATGTATTAAATTCAAATATTAGTAACAACGAAGCGCAAGGAAGTTTCACCGCAATTTAAAGATAACTTTGCTTGTCAGTCATATAAACTTACATGAATTATATGGTTCGTCGAGTTCTTCTCATCAGTACCAACAAACAAAGTAATAAGAACTCCTTTCCCATACTTGGAATTCAGCTTTGCAATAGATTTCTCAGCTGACCAAGAGGCACCTAAAGCAACAACAGGTGAGATACATATTCAAAGTTATAGCTTCTTTGTATGACACTACAAAATGTTGCAGGTTGAAGATGCCGACTTTTTAAAGAAGAATGAAGATGCCTTTACCATATGTTTGCTCCCAGTTTAGTGTCGCTACTGGCCATCCATATATATCTGGTAACAGCTGGAGGAGAGGTTGTCCTCCTCTACTGTCAATAATAGCTTTGAAAAAAATGAAAATGAACATAAGGTGAACTCTACACACTTTGGCACAATATAAGCCACAGTCCCGATGAACTAAATCAAGAACACTTACTTTCATTTATACAAGACCTGTATAATGTTTTTGCTTTCTGCACTGCTACAATATCTTCAGTTTTGGGCTCCTGCAGGACATCTGAAATAGGACATTTAATAGAATGCATCAACATAACTGCTCATTTGTAATGATACGAACATTTCCAATGTAAACTCAATTAAAAAAGTAAAGCTAGCTTTTCTCAAGATCAATGTGTTCACTCCCCGTCTATTCTAAAACCCCAGGGAATCCAAACTCTTTGCCAGATCATCATTCCTAGTTGAGAACTGGGAGTTAGTATCCTTCGTTAACAATGAGAGTCTTTTGGATCAGATTATCTCTTTGGGAATACTGGTGTGTACCATTCTGCTTTCCATAAGTAACTTCTCTTGAAATTGAGATTTAAAAAAGAAAACAAATAATCATACAGAAGAATTTGGAATTGAATATAGTCTTTTTCACAGCTAGAAAAGTAATTCCTTGTATGAGTGAACTGCTCATGCTGAAAATGAATTGTTCTTTTTATTTGCATACTAAGAAAGCATAAAAAGTTATTTTTGTACAAACTAACTTTTAGAAAAGAATGTGGAGATAAGAGGGATAGTTCATGCATTTTTAACTTACCGCATCAACGTGCACTAAGTCAGATCTCAAAAACACCTTGAAATGGCTTTAACATAGTTAGGGAAGGAGACCATCAGGTCGTAGTGACTGTCATTTAATTTTTTTTTTCCTGTAAAATGGCAGGAGGAATGCTACACGATGTCCCCATATCTAAAGCTGTGTCTACCACAGTCCGTGTGACTCACAGGTGGTATGCAAATCCTGAAGGAATGGCCAACTGGAATCTTCTGTGATATTCCTTCCAATGGCTAACAGCTGTTTCTTTAAAAATGGATCCACTAAGAGAGAAATCTTGGACACACAGACACAATCTCCACTAACCTTTCAAAATGACTTCTAATTCATCTTTTAAGATGTCAAAGTTACTGTAACGTGAGCTGGTCTCCGGGATGACTTTGCGTTTCAACCAACCGCCGCAGGCATACTTGAAAAAGTCTGTGCAGGGCTCAGCAGTATCATCCATGTTCTCAATCAGTCGAGCAGCTATAAGGTCAGAAAAAAGACTTGATGAAATGAAGGATGCACTTCTCATGTATTTTCTAAGGTGAAACAAGAGGCATGCTGTTCCCACTCTACGGTTACATCAATTCAAGAGGAATGTACTTGGTTCTCCTATACTGTGGTTGTTTTGCTTTATTCTTGAATGATCTGGGTCCTCTCACCCTAGTTCCCAAGGACTACCATCTCTTAAAAAGAGGAATTTCTTGCTGGTTCTTCAAAAGAGCATGCCTTGGCCATGCTGAACCTGGGCTTTGAACGATGATTTTGCTCAATGATACCGTTAGTTGCTCACTGCTTTTTAGGGTGCTGTGACTTCGGAGTGTGTCTGGGACCAGAAGGAATGAGAGACTCCCAGATTTCTGTCATTTTAGTAAAGCTCTGAGACCACAGTTAGTACTTCTTGGAGAATCCTCACAGAATTTTTGCAATTAAAATTTCTCATCCAATTTACATTTGTTTATGCAGAGTTTCTCTTATAAAATTGTAAGCTGGTTAGTTTTTCTTACGTCCACTCTTTCATCTTTGAGAGCTGTGTAGAAATACAAATGAGCTAATGGTTTTTATAACATGCAAGTCACAGACTGTTAGGTGCTATGATTGCTAGAAATATGAATCAATTACTATTACTGAAAACAAAAACACAGCTCAATGCCCTGGTGACATCTGCCGCCCTCCTCCCCACTTCCTTTCCCTTGCAAGTGGAACTCTGGCAGTAAAAATGAGACAGCAATTGAGAATTCATCTATATAAAGACAGTATAAGCTTTTGAATGAGGTTTTGAAAATACCCCACTTTCTGAAGTCATTCATTAATTCAAAACTTCAGACAATAGCCGAGCCATGTGAATCTTCCAACTTGTGGTTAGTAAATTTGTTTTCCTGATAAACCCCGAGAGCCTACTTTGACTATCTTTTGCAAACACTTCTTTATTGGCCACTTTAAAGTCTGGTCTTTAATACTGAATGATATATTCTTCCCAAACAATTCTTCCCCTATTTTCTCTATTTTATATGCTCCACTCTACAGTACAACTGCCGTCACAGGCTTCCGAGGCTTGGAGCATTAGGTGAAGCCAATTCCCCCCTTCTCTCCCTGGCCCTTGGTCTTAATGGCAGTTTCTTCACCTCTTTTCCATACTTCTTCTCTTCCCGTGGTCAAGGTCAATGTAATGTACATTTTCACTCTCTTTTGATTGGAAATCATCCAGCTATTCATCTTGGTAGTTCTATACTGCCGCTTTAAAAGTTCTGCATGTTTTTCAAAGACTAAATTTCCCCAAAGACACTTTTTTCATGGGTCACAGCCTTGTCAAAATGCCAGTGGCTGCATGTTTCTTCAGTTAAACTGCAAACTCTTTAACTTTGCCTCCGAATCATTACCACACTGAACCCGTGCTGCTCCCTCCCTTTAGCCCTCCGTTCTCATAACAACTCTGTTTCAAACAGTGGCACTGGGCCAATGTGCCACCAACAGTCTCAACGCACTCCTTGTCTTCATCTTTACTTCTGGCCTTCTTACCTCCACCCTGTTTTAACCAGGCTCCCATTCTTTCCAAATATGTCTCATCATTAAAGCTCAGTACAGGTCCCACCTCTAACCTGAAGCCTCCGAGACTCCACACACAGTTGCTTTACCTGAAGTCCTGGGAGCTCACGGCCTCACCGTACTGATGGTATATGGATGCTTCTGCCTCCGACGTCCCTGTGGACTCCTACACTATCTCCCTAAGCATCCTGTTGATGTCACTAGCCGCTTTGTGTTACCGCCATCCAACGCCTGGATCATGGAGATGTACTTTGGCTTACATGTTTCTGAGTCATTTATGGGTCGTCTTAGTCCTCCTCTTTGACACACCCACCCTTGCCCCCACAACATTTCACCACCTCCGGAGCTCATTGCAGTCTCCCATCCTCATTGCTTTCATTCTTTCTCAAGCTCCTTTTGAGATCACACTACAGTTCTGAGCCTCTGCTTAAAGAGACCGATCTGCGTTCCGCAGGAAGAGAAGCACTAAAATATTTCTGTGTAACATCGACCATTCCAAAGCTTCCAATGTAGTCAAATTTCCATTTCTTGAGCATATTCCACCTCAGCTGTGTCTAATAAAGCCTTTCTCCTGCTACTTTCTCAGTTGGACCATGTGGTCCAGGTAAATGAGCACGTTTGCCTTCTGCTGTAAAGCATCTTGCAGTGACTTGGACCAAGTTACTGCAGCCCCAACATCTACAGTCATTACAGGAAAAGAGTAGAAAACCAGGGGTGGCATCACGGCACAGGAGTCAAGCTGGTGTCTGACATCACAGCATCCTGTATGAATGTTGTTTCAAGTCCCACCCAGATCTCTGTTAACAGCGGATCTGAACGAGCAGAGGAAGAGGGGCGCAGGACTTGGTCCTCTGCCTGCCATGTAGGAGACGTAGCTAGAGTTCCAGATTCCTGATTTCAGTCTGGTTCAGCCCTGGCTGTTGTGGCCACCTGAAGAATAATCTGCAGGTAGAAGATCTCATAGTCTCTAGGTCTCCCTCTCTGTAACTCTGTCTTTCAAACAAAGAAATAAACCTTTAGAAAAAGGAGGGGCCAGTATAGTGGCTTTTCAGGCTAACCCTCTGTCTACAGCACTGGGATAGTTCTAGCTTTTCCACTTCCTATCCAGCTTTCTGCTTATGACCTTGGACTCCTGCATTCACATGGGAGACCTGGAAGAAGTTCCTGGTTTCTGCTTTTTGGATTGGGTCAACTCTGGTCATTGTGGCTATCTGGGAAGTAAACCAGGAGAAGGAAGATTTCTTTTTATCTCTCCTTCTCTCTCTGTAAATCTGTCTTTCAAATAAAAATAAAGAAATCTTTACAAAAAGTTAAGGAACTGATTTTGTAATGGTATAAAAAAAGCGGTGACTTCCTTGAGCTCTGAAGGTAATGAGATAGAATGACAGGGAGAAGAGAAAATAAAGATACTAAAACAGAGGATTTTTCTGTAATGTGAAAAAACAGAAAATGGAACCTGAGTGAAGTACTAACGAAAGTCATTATAGGAACACACTTTCAACTATTGTACATAACTCTTGGTTTTTAAGATATTTTAAAATTTTTAAGCTGAATTTTGCAAAAGCTACTGCCATTTGGGGAGCAGTTGTATTATCTTCCCTCTCGCGTGAAATGGCTGGTTTATGTTATGACACCACAGAAAAATCAACTTCTACTCAGGAGAGTGGTGAACAGGCAATGAGCAAGTGAAATGTGTCAGAAGAGTTATGTCCAAGCCTTACTGTCGTTGGGAAGGTCATGTGACCTTTCAATGCCCTCCGACTAAAGGACAGGTGCTGGTTCATGTACACGCAGCTGTACTTCCCCATCTTCCATTAGGAGAAAAGAAAAAGAAAAAAAGATAGCAGGTGAGTTTGCTCACCTGACCCTGACATCTCCAAATCTGAATTACTTGTACCTGCACCAGGAATCAAAGAAGGAGGATTCAATTACTGAGGGATCTGCCAAGAGGAGACCAGAAGAGGCAACTTTGTTAACTCCTTCCAGTGCAGCTTGACAAATGTTGCTTTAACCAGAGAACTGGTCTGAGCATGCATGCTCCCAACCTTTTCAGTGTGAGATCTCTATTCTGATGAATATTTTGGGGCCATGGTCCAAGGCAAGGCAAAGGCCAGCACTTTTATGCTAGGACTTTGATCAACTTTCCTTTAATCTCTTATCATGGATTTGACTCTGCTTTTGCACCTCATCCTCCGGACCTCCTCCGTGGCGACTTCCCTTTGAAGTCAGGGGTAGACTGTGGGTAAAACAGCCATAGGAAACAGACGCACCACTGTCAGATGGGCTCTAATTGTTTTGCTGCTTGGTACTTTGTTTTGAATTACTCAACAGCTCCGTGCAGCCACACCTGGGCTCTTCAGATGTTTCCTTATCTGTAGGCCTGTAACTTCTGAGTAAACAAATGTGGTTTAAAATCAAACAAAACCACTCACCTTAATAAGTAGATATAAAATGACGTAGTGAAAGGGAACTGTAAAGATAGGGAATGTTGGTGGCCAGATGTTGTAAACTATACTGTGCTCTCTAAAATTTGGGGAAACTTCAAATAATTCATGGAGAACAGGGCTTAAAAGGTCATTTGTGTCTCTGGGAAAATCTGAGATCTATGTATGCTTTTTTTTGGACACTCATCCTCCGTAGTTTTTGAGCTCTGCTTGTATATACACGCGCAGCAAGTCCAGAAGGATGGCGCCATCAGCATCATGACAGTCCTATTACGGTGAAGGGATAATGAATATTTCATTTTGTATTACTTGCATATCTTTTCTTTGGCAATGTGTATTAGATGAACTTGCGCTGCTTTTGCAGTAAGAAGAGTTTTTAATTTAAGAAAATAGTCGCATAAAGACAAGAAAAGTAATCTTCTGTTAATAATGAGCTTATTTCTTACAAATGACAATTCTGAATGTTCCAGGCTGATAATAAATGACAGACCATTTTTTTTCCTCTGACTAATCTTCTTATAACATTCTCCCAACTTATTGAATGTAGAAATTTAAAAATAAACGCAGCTACCCTTTGGGAAGTCATTAATGGCTGTTCATTACTGAAGATCTACTGTGTGGGTATAAATTTAGATGCTTACATGAGCTAGAAAGAAGGGGTCTTCAACCAGATGGACTTATTTGGAACCCCAGAGATCTACCATATTTTGGTTGTACAAGCTTAAGCAGTTTTCCCTAAGATCAAACAGCTAGAACGTGACGGATCGCTGAGACTTGCACTCTCGTGTGTGTGGTTCTGAGCCCACACTCTTCCCTCCAGGCCTTGGAGACAGAGGATGTGAGCATGTGGGAGGCAGTGCCAAGTCACACAGTCTTTTCTGCTCTTTGCTGGTTGCTCTCTATCTTCCCGTGCCCTGCCTTCTTCAGCCTGCAGGAGACAGCAGCAGGAGAGGCTGCATCTGAGCATGAAGTCAGAGCAGGGTGAGCGCACAG